TCTGTTGCCCTCTTTCCCTTCTGCTATCCTCTTTCCTTTCTGATATCCTCTTTCCTTCCTGCTATCCTCTTTCCCTCTGCCATCCTCTTTCCCTTCTGCTATCCTCTTTCCCTACTGGTGACCTCTTTCCCTTCTGCTATCCTCCTTCCCTACTGGTGTCCTCTTTCCCTACTGCTGTCCTCTTTCCCTTCTGATATCCTCTTTCCTTCCTGCTATCCTCTTTCCCTTCTGTTTTCCTCTTTCCCTACTGCTATCCTCCTTCCCTACTGTTGTCCTCTTTCGCTACTGCTATCCTCTTTCCTTCCTGCTGTCCTCTTTCCCTACTGTTGTCCTCTTCTCTTCTGTTGTCCTTATTCCCTTCTGCTATCCTCTTTCCCTTCTGATATCCTCTTTCCTTCCTGCTGTCCTCTTTCCCCACTGCTATCCCCCCATTGGCTCTATAATTTATGTTGTTCTTTTACAGTTTTTCCTTCTGATGATATTATTGTTTAACTTCATATATACTTTGGCTTTAGAAATCATAATGTTTTATAGAATGAACAATTCGAAAGATGTCGTTCGCGTAGAGTCGAAAAAATATAATACATAGAGAATATAGAATTCTCTCTGCCTAAACTAGTATATCATAATTAGCAATGGAAACCAAATTGAATTATGGAATGAAACATTTTGAAAGATGTCGGTCAGGTACAATCAGAAAAACTTGTAAATCAAAATTATCGAATTCTTCCTGCCTGGAGCAGTAGATCATAGTTGGCTTTAGAAATAACAGTGAATTATAGAATGAAAAATGATTTTGAAGCTTAATATAATGAAATCAATAATGTCGATTGTTTATTATTGATAATAGACTGTTGTCATATTGAATATAGTCTGTCAAACTATTATTATATACCAGTGACATGATATCAACCACTTCTATTCTTATTATTTGTGAATGTCTATTGTCAATGTAAGTTTATATGGTTTATTAGTCAGTGCAAATTATATTAGTGTGCATAATATTGGAAAATTAACTCTTATTGTATCGACTTTTTACCTGCTGTATGCACGTTGTCGTGTGGTTTATTTTTTTCCTTTATTACAAGTCGACTCGTCGTTTTGATTTTTTTTATTTATTATAATATTGGCATATATTAGTAGGAGAAAAACACATACATTCGTATGGGGGGGGGGGGGGTTGCATTTTACATGATGCAAGATGAAAGAATTTGAAGCTATTAAGGTGTATGACAATGATATATTGTTTATTAGTTAGTGCAAATTATATAATAAGTAAAAGGAAAAAAACGAGATTGGTATGAGAGGTGCTGCATATTAAATCAAATCTGTTTTGAATTTTGACGAGGGAAATTTTGCCAAAAAAGCTGTATGGAGGGTTTGTTAACATAGATTAGTGGAATTTCAGTAATAGGGTTCTCTATTGAAAGAAAATACATGTAAAAGCAGTTGTCAACGATTCTTTCTGCGAGTTATTTTGAAAGATATTTATATTGTCATACATTATCATACTTTTTGTTATTGAGAATATATTACTTATAGTCTGTATTTAATATTTTTATCATTCGGGTATATTTTAGTTCCCATGTAGCCCATGTTGCGTGCTTTATGTTTAGAAAATATTTCACAGTTCATTTGAGTTATGTATTTTGTTTGTGTGAATCTATTGTAGTTTGACTATTCTGTACCCAAAATATGGTTTACTGTTCAGGTTTTCGCGACTCTTTAAAGGACACATTTTAGGGGGTGTTTTTTATGTTTTTCCCTAAATTACGGACGAACTAAACGTCTGATTTTCATTCTAAAAGGTAATCCGTACAAATGCATTGAACTTATTTGAGCTTGCAACGAAAATATTAAGATATATACATAATGTAATATATAATATTTTCCCTAGAAATTAATTTTCGTTTTGTTTTATTTTCGTGGATTACTTCTCTCGGATCATCTTATCTTGTGTATGAAGGTGATAGGGATTAAAGGATTAAAGGATTAGGAGTTGATAGTAATCAATTGAAATAGATCTAATCAGGTGTAATTGATTATATCACAGTTTACACTAGATGTTATAGTAATAATATAATAATTTATAGTATTAGATCAGTGACCCCAGTGACCCCAGTGACCCCAGTCTGACCTCGCGGGTCCTTGCCCTTTATCTCTTGATCAATGACCTGTTGAACTATGATGGATTTACCTTCTAGGGCTCTGTAGCCTAACCGGTTCGAGCGTTGTTCTTTTCTTTATATGACGTCATTTGTGTGGTTACGTCGAACCGTAGGGCTATAAAAATGTATTGCCCCCCTCCCTCCCTTGAGATTCTGACAATTGCCCCACTGAACAATCAATTCTGCCTACGGGCCTGGTATAATCTAAATAATGATGTTTTAAATTTTATTTTGTTATTTTCCAGATTAGCTGAACGTCAGAATGTCCAAACCAAATGATAAATTAACACAACAAGCAGTGAAACAACAGGACAATGTCCACCCAACTTTTAAAGCCACGCCATTTCTACCTAATATCAATAAACCAAGAGAGGTCAGTTAACTTATGTTTTTGTCAGAGGAGAGAGGGGGAGGTGGAGGGGTGTAGTTCAGTTGAAAATTGTCGTGAGTGAAAAGTCACGCTTAAGAGAAAGTCTTACGGTATCTTCACACTACAAACTGAGCAGACAGAGAAGAGCAGAGAAGAGCGGAGAAGAGCGAACTGATTTCAATCATTCGCAAAGGCGGATTACGTGTGTGCATACCTATACCTATTGTTTGACAGCCATCCCTAAGGTTCGTTCACGCTAGAAAGTGAGCAGGAGGGGTAGCATGACAAAGAAGTCATAGGAACACACACATGGAATCCCCCATAGGGAATGATTGATTTCAGGTCGACCTGCTCGGCTTATATATGAACGCCTGAGCGCTCTGCTTGGCTCTGCTCTGCGCCTTCATGGAACCTCATTTTCTATCCCTATCAATCTTATACAGGGCCTTGTGTGGTAAAGCAAATTTCGCGATTAGTGACTTCACCAAACTCTTAGTTTTGGTGGAACTGCAAGAACCACAGACGTCTGATTGAAAATTGGAATGGTGCAAATTGATTCTTTCAGTGTCCCCGATACACATCAGAAAAAACTCTTTACAATTCCTTTAATGGAATCTAATTTGTTATCCTTTTAAATCTTATCTATGGATTAGGTTTTTTTTAGATCTCAAGACGAAATTCGAAAAGCACGAGGTTCTAGAAGCATCATGCATACCCTGCCATTCACGCGAACAATAGTTTTTGCACATACATGCCACCTTACACGATGCTATCTAGTGTTCAGTAGTAAATATTTTATAGTACTTATTATTTAATATTCTACTATAACTACACTCTTGTCGTGTTTTATTATCTGTTTTACTAACCTCTCTAGTTTAACATATAATAATATAACTTTTTATCATATTTACCTAGAACTTCAGTTGGTTTGTTTTAGTATTTAGAGATCACTTATTAAACTCTCTAGTGTTCAATTTCTGGAAACCTCAAGACTCTAAGCGACTTTAATCTGGATTGTTTTGTGAAGTAGGTAATGGTCGGTAGCTGGACACTACTTTCAAATACTGTAACTTTGATCTGTTAAGTTATATAGTGTTTTCTATAACATGATATTACATAGTCTTTTTAGATCATTTGGAATACTTGTTTCCACCGATATTTTGGACCACAATTAACAATAAGCCAACTGCTTGCACTGCGTCAGGTGTTCTTTTGTTTGTTAGGCTCAACTCTGTGGTTCAGGACACATTCATGTAATACCAATAAAGTTTTATAAGCTCAGAATCAGACAAATTTGTGGGATAGAATAAGTCGTTGTGACAAGGAAATATTATTCTGACGGACGTTTCGAATTTTAGTTCAGTAACCATCTGGAAGAACTACTAGTTGGAACTGTCATTATCTCTTTAGAGATTATCGTTAATAAACTGTAAAGAGTAAGAGTAACAAACATTATTATCTACCGGTCATGTTGTGCACCACTAGAAAAAGTGTCTATGCAGCATCATTAATGGTAAGGAGTATGCTTGTACTTCCTGATGTGAAAAGTTCATTAGCTGGTACCAATGTTTCGTCAATATATTGTTTAGATTTCGGTTCGATAGTATATACTTGGTTATTTACTCTATATTAAAAATAATGAATGGAGCTTTACGTCCTAATCTTCTGCATCTAATTGAGCCAATGAAGAGAGGTAACACCATGCAGTGTGTAATGAGGGAAATTTTCCAACTGCCGAGGGGTCTTTAACGTGCACAGCTTGCAGCACGTGGGGTCTCGGTTTATTTTTCACTCTACTCCCTGTTCAAAGCGTAGTACAACTGAGAGGATAGCGATATTCAGTCAGTTTATCTTTGTACGCTAAGAAGAATTTTCAAGATCATTCGATACATGGATTCCTTTCTTACAGACAGTGTGAAGCTCGAACTTTTTAAACTAAGTTACTACTGTTTAAAGTCTATATCGGACAAAAAAAAAACAGATTGGAATCAATGGGAGAAAGGAATAATATTTTGAAGCTCTTATTTTCACCTGATACTGTTCGTTTTCTCCTCTAGTGGCTTTTATGAATCAATACTTCAATTTGATTATAGGTTTATTGTAACATGACCCTTTACCTGCTACTAGCTGTGATATATGGCCTTTCAAAGACGAAATTGGTGTAATCTTTGCTACTCGCGTTCTAGAATCTGTGGTTCAAATACGCTACTAGCAGAAACAAATTAGGATCAGGTGATAATTTGATGTTTTCTTCCTAATTCCTTATTTTCTACTTTCAGCAAGTTAATGGCCGACCAGATGATTCACCAAGAAGACGATCTCGAGTACCCAGTACCTCCGAATCAGTAGCATCCAGATCACCAATTAATTCTAAACCAGGAATGACCATCTTCAGAGTTGTCGCTGCTACCAGGACCTGGCAGAGACTAGCTAAGATCAACTCGGCCAAAAAACATAAACCCATGAAGTTGGAGAACACGTACAGGTTAGAACCCAAGGATACAAATAAATTCCAAACAGAACAAGTCGAGGGGTTATTGAAAGATATTTTGGAATCGAGATTTGAGAATATGGAATATGATGCAACCAAATGTGCCGCATTGTCCAAGGATTTGAGTAAATTCATCCATACTCGTGTACGGTGCCTCGGTTTCCCGCGCTATAAGTATATAATCCACGTGACAATCATACAGAATAAGGGACAGAGCCTGCAGATATCGAGTCGGTATTTATGGAACGCGGATCACGATCGCTACGCCACCTACACATTCAATAATGCTAATTTGATAGTCACTGCGCAGGTCTATGCTGTATATTTTGAATAGGAATTAACACGTGACTGTGCAAGTACCGGAAGTTATGACTATACATTGTGTTAATTAGAAACAGTTATGCAGTTCATTGGCAGACGGAAATTCAAGCCGACATCTTCGGTGAGCTGACCTTTTGAACATGTTGACTTATATGTGTATCACGGACTCTTAAAGTGTTCAAATACACCAGCCTGATTACCGTCTGATATGTGTGAATCATGTGTAACTAGTATATTTTTTATTATTTCAAAAATATGTTTCACCAAGCAAAGATGTTGGCCGGAGCAACTGTTTGGTTGTGTTACACGAAGCGCAACTTTTGTCGAAGTTTATAATTTGTGTCGTTCATATACACATCACAAGACACAGTACTGGCGCGCGCATGCATTGACCCCCCCCCCCCCCACCCCCCCACTCCCCCTGTTGGACCCTGGGCTAGCTACGGGCCTGTGCTTAATATCGTATATATAAACATTCTTAGATGATGTTATTCCCCTGTTTGAATTTGTTTTTAAATACATACATATTGCCCTTTGTTTAACAAGAGATAAGATAGATTTTTACATATCATTGTTTATATTTCCTAAAATAAAGTCTTATAAAATCATGTCAGTTTTGTCTGTTGATTGGGAGGAGTGCCATTTGATTTCTTGAAATGAAATGAAATGAAATGTATGGAGTTTTACGTCCTACTTTTCTGCACCATGTGGGCTAATAATGACGGGCAACGCCATGCAGGGTGTAATAGGAGAAATTTTTGCAGGACAACGGCATTAGCCTGCTCTTTTTCGATTTCCAACTGTCGAGGGGTCTTTAACGTGCACAGCCTGTAGCACGCGGTTTATTTTCCCATCCGAACGACTAGATGCTTTTTCCATGTCAGCCCCTCTTACCCGCATCACTGACAGGGGGAAACCGGGTTGAAAAATCCGAAGGTATTATCTAGACCTATGTCCTATAGCGAGCAAGGGCCAACGCGTCTCCTTGATTTCTTGAAGATGTACGAGTGAACAGTATAACGTATGATAAAGAGTAGGAGTCCACTCTATTAACATTTTTTACTCTCGATTTTGCCATACTTTGGTTATTTTGATTAACGGTATTGTTTTGCTTGTTCAGATTTTTTTATAACCATATGGGTCCATGAAAAATTATGTTATAAGGGATCTGATTGGTCAAAATCAAATAGAATCAATATAGAAACGACATAGATAGAAATAGTGAGTAAAATTCCTAGTTTGAAGTATTTTTAAAGGAATTATTCTAGTTGTTCCAAAGACTATTTACATATATTCGAGACTCAAATCAACCTCCCAAAATGGCGCAACTGTCCCTTTGTATAGATATTTAAAACAAAACAGCTTTACTAGCAGATAAAGTAGAATCTCAGGTACTTTACGCCCTTGGCATTAATTCTAAAAAAGCCTTAAAAGGGCTTAATTGAGCTCTATCAGCTATGGATTTAAATATACACGTACAGAACCCTTTATCCTTTATGAAAAACACAGGCATATTAAGAGAACCACGTTCCGTTACAATGTAATAATGACAATCATTCCTTATATGGTCATTATGATTTAACACCAACCGGAAGCCCAAGTTCCGCCATTTCTATGAGCAAACTCTGCAGCTTTAGGATCGGACTTTGGGTAGTTGGCTTGAACTCTGGAATTCCTGTAAGCGTTGATTCTATTGGTTAACTTGGTCACGATGTCGGGGTGCTGCACTGAAAGATCATTTCGTTCTTCTGATCTCT